GACTACCAGCTCGAGCTAAAGAGCCACTACCCATTTGTTTTTTTTGATAAAAATTTTTTGGCGAGGGGGAGGGGGGTGGGGGGGGGGGGGAGGGCAGGGAGAAAAATTTCTTTTAAATATAGCTGTGGGAGACCACAGGTCAGTTTTGGGTAAGAAAAACTTTTGGGCGAAATATATATGGTTGGATGCAGTTTTTCACGCTGATTCCGAATATCATATTTGTTTTGCTTTAGAATTATTCTATGACAAAAATAACCTCTAAAAATATTTGTTTTTTATCGAAAAACCATCAACAAGCATAAAAAATTAGGCTGTATAAACCCTTTTTCGCATCGATGGGAAACTTTTTTTTCTAATATTTTTTTACCATTTTGTAGAGGATAAAAGAGTGCATAACATATATAAAATTCAGTCTGGTTTCTCTTAATCCTGAAACACAGCACGAGTTATACTGCTTATTTGCACTGATCAAAAGAACCACCCCTTGACTCATATTCGCTCTATGAAACTTAAATTATTAGCCATTATATGATATCAACCTAGCTCATTTTATTCAGCTTTCAATTCTCTATCTTTCTATGTATACCACAAAAAATTTCAATGATTTGCTGAAACGCAAGCTAGGACATCTTTTCTAGAATATTTTTTCTTATTTTTCCACAAAAAGGCCCGATAGTGCCAAAAGTTGGTCTTGGTTAACTTTTCATAGGAGGGGTATTAGAGCCTAAAATTTTAGGGTTAGTAATTTTAGACATTGAAGTTTTGAATGAGCAAAAAAAATTGAAAAAATAAATTTTATCGAGTGCCTCGTATACTCGATGCTCTCATGGAGGCTCTCTTAAGGAGATTGTATCATAATTTCTTGTGATAATTGATATTTGTTCCGAACGTGGTGTGAGCGGATCGAGCTGTGGTCGTTAAGAGAAGGCACTCATTAACATCTATATTTCTAAGCCGTCTCTTTTAGAACATCATTTTTGTATTTTTGAGTTTTATGTATAAATGCTTTTGCACCCCAATCAGTTGTCTTCATTCAATATTTGATTCCATTTTATCATCATAATTATATGGTCTGTTCAAAATCAAAAACAGCTGATGGCATTCAAAGTAACAATTATGTCTGGCGAACTCTATAAATTGCAGTAATTAAAAATAAAAGCAGCACTATTGTAGTTTAGCGCTCTCTACAAATTACAGCTAGTTAAATTGAAATAATGAAACTCAATCTTTAGCGAACTCTATAAACTTCAGCAAGTTTAAAAATATAAGTGAAAATTGAAGTCCTATTAAAATTGTTGTCAGTAAGTTTTTTGAAATTTGAAAACCGAAAATTTGAGACCTACGATTATTTTCAATTCAAATAAATTAAATTTTAAAAATAACTGAAATTGAATTTAACAGATTTTGAATTTCAACTTTATGTTCACAAATGAGAAAACATGTATAAAATAGGGCAAATTTCGATGTTTTCAGCCTATTTTTTGATATTTAATTTCTATGGGAGCATTTTCATATGAACTCAACTAAACGTAGAAAATTCCAGCCGCTACCGGGACTTATTTTATCGAAATTTATCGAGACTTTGCAATAAGTCTCTAAGCACTTTGGGATAAATCCCATATGATTCCTCAATACATAGAATTTGTGAGTGAGAGTGTGAATGTGAGTAACAGTGAGGGTGAGGATGAGAGGGTGGGTGTAGATGTGGATGTTAATGTGTTACAATATGATCATAATTAATAGGTCCCTATTGAATAAATAAATCCCGCAGAAATGACAAATCCCGAAAAAATAAGTCCCGGTAGCCCCTCACTTGTTACATCTACCATTTTTCACAACTATAACCCATGTGAAAATTTTTGCCGTTGTAAGCTATTTGCAAGCAGCTTAAAAAGGCTTATGCTTCTATAAGCTGCTGTAAAGCGCGTAAATATTCTCGTCTTAAGCTGCTAAAAGCCGCTTCACTCAAATAAGCTGCTTATTTTAGCTTAGAAAACGGTTTCACTAACCCATGTGAAAATTTAAGCAAATAAGCGCGCTTAAATTAGCTTGTATTTTAGGCTGAACAGCGCTGAAAAGCGCACATTTTAAGCGACTTAAAAGCACTTGTAATTACATATCCAAGCGCTTATAAGTACCGAATTTCTACAAACTTATATTCATTGTTGATTGGTTCTATTATCAAAACTTAGTGCCTGTGTATGTAGGACCTCTAAAATAATGTGATGTCTAAAAGAGTGCGACCAGCTTGAGATAATTATTCTAGATAATGGGTTAACGCTCATATCATTCTGCAACGTAATTTTGAGAAATAAAGTATTTTTGAATTTCGAACCGTTACTAAATAATTACGGTTCGAAATTCAAAAAGACATTTTTTCGAAAGTTGACTATCAAGAAGGATGCAGCTATAAAACTATTATTTACGTAGAATAATTATTTGGAACCAATCGAAATCCTTTGAAAATCATATTATTTTAGAAGTCCTCATATGTGTACACTAAGTTATTGTAACAGAATCGGTCAACAATGAATATTTGTTCGTAAGTGATAAGCGATCTATTTGCTACTCAATATCTAAAAAAAAGTAGTGCCTAACCGTTACACAATTGTCCTCATGTTTGAACGTAATTCATTCACTAAAACTATTTCACATTAGTGTTATTATATGCTTGACTACCATGATTCATTCTCAAATTTTCTATACAAATTAATATAACTTAGCGTTGTACTGCCCATCTTAAAATATTTAGCAATTTTACTGAGCCATATGAAGTGGAAATTCATGAAAATTTTTAGTAATAGTATAGTAGTTATATTAGCTTACGTACTGAATCACTATTTTATTTCTTTTCTATCTTCACTGTTATTTCAGATGGAGGTTTTTCGATAACTGAGACTTGTTCAGACTATTTTTGCAATAAAAAATTCATCATATAAAGTAAGAATAAATGTTTATTGCCAACATATTTTCGTTTGTTTTTCTTTCTGACTATACAACAAATAAGATGTAGATACTAATCGAATTTCAGTCTTCAATATTATCACCTATTTTGATTATCAATAGTTTAGAAAAATATCTATGGACTACATTAGCACCTTTACTTTACCTGATGCAAGATTTTATCAGAAAAAAACAGTATAAAAAAGTCAAAACAGATTGAAAAAAAAAATAAGAAACGAAATAAAAAATTTCTTATCGCAATAAATTACTTCCTCTTATATTAAAACATTAGTTTTTTCATTGAACGTAGATGGGTCAACAACATTTTTCTAATCAGATGTATGAAGATTCTTTCATGGAAGAAGTTCATGAGTTTCAACACAATAATGACCTGTCCTAAAAACTATCGAACCAAAGTGAATAAAAAAATTTCTAACTTTCATTTAAAAAAGTAATACTTCTGACCAGCTATGAAAACGTATTTTGAACGATTCTCACAATCTGCTTATCTATGTTCTCCACTATAATGCGTGATTTCTTTTAGACAAGAATTAATCAAATGAATATTTAGTAGTCATTTTCTAAAAGTTATTTTATAACGCACTCACGCGAGCTAAATTTGAAAACGCATTATGAAAGGAGTACTACCACTACCAAAATTCAGATAAATTAAATAAACCCAAAACTTGACTTACCTGAATTCATTAACGCCTACTGTATATCAGCTAATCTTGCTTCAGAACATTTTTTCATTTTAAATAATCATTGTAACAATATTTAACGATGAAAATCCATTATAAACTGACCATATAATCATAAGCGCTTCTTAGAAAAGCTAAGCACAAAACCTCCGTAGAGTGATACTCTCTGTTACTTCAGTATAATGAAATGCGTCTTAATCTTTTTCTAATGTAAATAAAACTCTATAAGATTACTTAAATCGAAATTATAGAACGTATATCATAAAACGTAATTTTTCAAATAACATCATAATGCTAATAACATGAATTGTTCAATACAAGAATACTGCACTATCGCATTGCGAAAATCGCGAATATTTTTTATTTTGATGAAACTTAGAACGAATGAGTGAAATTTAAAAAAATATCTAGGATTCATTTTTTTTCTCATTTAAGCGGTACGAACAATAATACTTGGTCCCAACAAATTCTTGCAAAAGTGCAAACGTTCATGATAGAGGGCGTTGGTATGAAATATATTTTAGATACATTATAGGAAAAGAGATTGATTAAGATGTAATAGCCATCGAAAAAAGAGTCCTGAGGGGTTTGAGAAAATCATCGTGATTAATACTTTTCCCCATACATCTATTTCACGTCGCTACCAATAAACAAAGAAGAAAAACTATGTCTTCCGTTATATTCTATTTGCCCGTGTAATCTATGATAAGACGTGACTAATGGTGAAATTTTAAATAGACTGAAACTCTTAAAAGAAAGAAGTATATTTTTATATTAATTAGAATTGAGTTCACATTGAATCCTCTGATACTCCCAAAATATTGTCAAAACTAGCGTCCTCTACACTACATTTTTCAACCTTAAAATACGCCTTAAAATATTTCACTCATGAAAACATGTAGTAAATTTAAAATTTAATCAGTTAAACTTCGTTAACCTAGACAGTTTCATGTAAACGTGTTAAAATAGTAATGCAGAGAAACGAAAAATCTCATTTAAAAACGATTAACAGATGATTTTTCGTTAAATTAGAGAAAAATCATAAAAATGCGTGAATATAATTAAGGCGCGAGAATACTGCTGTATACAACAATACACAACGAGAGATTCTCTTTTAAAAGACGACTCGCC